ACCCGTGCCCACCCTTTCACCCGTCTTTCCGTCTACTTTTTCCCGTCATTCAATTTTCGCACCACTTTCGATTCTTACCCTACCGTTCAACCGTATATCTGTTTTACCGCCTTCGTATTCATCGGTCGGCAAGAACCGACTTGATCTCCGCCCCAGTTCGCCCAGCACCACGTCTGCCGGGCTGCGGCGCGAGCGCGCTTGTGGTCGGCTCGAGGGGTGGGGAGACAACGCCGCGCGCGCGTGTCGTGTGTCGTGTGCCGGGACATGCGTGGAGGGCGAGTCGTGCATCGTGCGCGGGCGGTGGGTGGTCTCGCCGCTCATGTCCTCCGTGTCCGTGCCTCGTGTCGTCGACGCAGTATCAGCATGCGCCGCAGACATCGAGACCGGCAGCCACGGCCGCGCGCGCATGCATGTGCGCGCCGGGCACCGCGGCATCACTCTCAGTACTCACCACCCCGCCAGCCCCGCGCACAGCGGCGACGAGGGCGAGGGCGGTAGCGATGTGCGATGTGGCGCTGCGTGAGTTGTTGGGATTTGCGGGGTCTAGGGGAAATGGTTAGCGCAGGAGAAGTAAAAGAATTGGGAAGAGGGGGAAGACGATGTAGTAATAGTAGTCAAAGTACGACACTGTATACGGGGCGTCCCACAGGTCGCCCGCTCTCATAAGAGAATAGGTAGCGACGTCCTCCGAAGCAAGAAACCAAATCGCAGAAGAAAACACGTACGTGCTGGACCTTTCTCTCGACCTCGACTGCGCGCGCTCTACTTGTCTCGGTGTCAATGCGTCCTCGTCCTCCCGCTCCTGTACGCCGATATCGTACGCGTCCCAGGTCGCTTCCCGCTTGTACATCCCTTACGCACGCCCTCTTTCCACCCTCACTCGCCGCCGTAAACCGATCCGACGGCGCCCCAGCCCCCGCCCCCGCTCTATGTCTACCCCCACTCTTCCCCGCACCTCGACGTCCCCGACTGCTGCTTCCGCATGCTCAGCATCATCGGCCCCGTCTGTACACCCGCTTGATGGCGCGACTACAACCCCGCGCCCAGACGCGCTCGCTCGCGCACGTGTGGGGGCTGCCAACGCCGTGCTGTGACGATCACTGAGAAAGGCTGTTAGCGAGCTGACAACGGAGAGGGAGGGGCGCGCAAAGGAGACAGAATGAAGTAAATCAGAGGGTGCGATAAGGAATAGCTAGAGACGAGGACGAAGAGAGGGGAGGCAAGGAAGGGAAGGAGGGAGATGTAGACGCGCGGTAACGAGCTCCGTCGCGTCCTGGCTGTGGCACAAAGACCATCGAAGGGAGAGCGGAACGGCTTACCCCCCGTCGAAGCCCCGCGCAAAGTCTATACCTTCCAGCCGATACTCTCCGCCCCTTCTCACCCCGAAACCACCAATGCAACCGCATAGCGGCACGCGGCGCGAAGAGGTCGCTTGGAATAAAGTCGACGGAGAAGACGAGCCGCAGGGACTCGGAGGCGGTGTCGGCGGAAGTGGCCATTATCGGCGCAAGACAGCGGCAGCAGGCCTAGGAGAATTCGAATGCGGCGGCGGGGGCGTCGAAAACAGAATGTCAGCGCCGGGGACGCCGTTGATCACCAGATTCTCTCCCGCGTGGAAGAGATGTCGGCCTGTGCGCATGAGGAAGAGACGCGCATGCAGCGCCGGGTACGGGCAGGGCTTCCAAGTACTGCTATCAAACGCGAGGATCCCAGCATTCTCTAAGATACCAGTCCGAGCGTTGGATATTGAGGACCAAGAGGACGAAAAGGACACAGACGATCTGGGTGGGCAGAAGCTAGCTAACGGTGGGCGCTGGTGGGGGCGCAGCGGGAAGAGACTCGAAAAGTGCTGGCGGGGATAAGCGGGCCGGGTTTGATTGCCTCGATAGGGGTTCCGCTTTTCTCTGAATCCACGTTTCTCTCCACACGCACCATACTTGCAAACCTCTCCCTTGCCTTGCGTCACTCAGCCAGCGCCTTCGTCATTTTTCGTTGCTTCCAGTTTCGATTCTCGAACGAGTCCCAACGCCAGCCGCAAGCCAGCCGTCACTGGATGGCCGTCACTGGATGAGGCTTTTCTCAGTAACCAGGTTTACAAGAGGGGAACTAGATCTAAAAAAAGAAATTTACACCAGCAAATGCCCATAGCTCGAGCTCGATTCGAACGAGCTTCTTCGGTCAAACTGTCGCGACTCAAATTTTGCTGCCGATGTGGACGTTCCACCAAGCCTTTGGAACTCTGCTCTGAATCCTACTCAGCTTCACGACGATTTTGCCCCAGACGAAAAAAAAAAGACCGCAGCCGTTCCTGGCGGCATATGCATGGCTCGGACCCGAATCGAACGAGTTACTTCAGCATGAAGGCTGGCTAGTGATACCAAGGACAAGCAGAGGTGGACCATCCACCACCGAGCCGATACTCACTCTGTTCTTGGCCTGGCTACACCGCTATTTTAAAATCAATCCTTTCAACTACCTCCAACTACCTCTCCCAGGCTACTATCACCTTTTTAAATGCAGGAGGGCTGCCCGCGGCAGACTACTCGAAAACCGGGCAAAAAAATCGTTTCAGTACATTCTACCCCCAACACGGCTCGGGCTCGATTCAAACGAGCATCCTCTGTGTAATATCACTTCGCGAACCTGCAATTCATACAGACATGGTCAATCCACCACCGAACCGTACTCCCCTTGCAACTCAGGCTCTCAAACCAGTAAATCTTGGAAGGGTTTGAGCTGATTCTAACTTGATGGCATCCAATAGAGAGAAAAAGAACCTGGCCGCTGATACAGTATGGCTCGGACCCGAACGGTTCCTTCTGCATGCGAGATCTAAAGAGTATCCAGGACAAGCAGACGTGGACCATCCACCACCAAGCTGATACTCACTCTGTTCTTGACCTGGCTACACCGCTATTTTAAAATTACTCCTTGTTTCATTTAATTCTCCTGAGGCGATTTAAACGAAGGAGGGCTGCATGTGGCATACTACTCGAGAGGCAGGCAAAAAATCGTTTCAATCATTCGATCCCACGGCTCGGGCACGATTCGAACGAGCAACCCCCACTTTGTAAAGTTCCAAATCATGGTATACAGACGTGGACCTCCGCCACCGAACCTTACTGGCCTTGCAACTCATGCTCTCAAACCAGCAAATTTTGGAAGGGTTTGAGCTGACTTTAACTTGACGGCATCCAAGAGAAAAAAAATGTGATCTACCTGGCCGCTCATGGCTCAGACCCGAATCGAACGGGTTCCTTCTGCATGTAAGACCAACGGAATAGCAAAGACAGCAGACGTGGACCATCCACCATTGAGCCGATGTGGGCGGTGTTCGTAACCTGGCTATACACCGCTATTTAAAATTGACCCCAGTTCAATTACCTCTCCCGAGGCGACTATTACCTTTTTAAATGAACGAGGGCTGCATGTGGTATACTACTCGAAAGGCAGGCAAAAAATCGTTTCAATACATTCTACCCCCAACACGGCTCGGGCTCGATTCGAACGAGCATCTTCTGTGTAATATCACTTCGCGAACCTGCAAGTCATACAGACATGGACAACCCACCACCGAACCGTACTCCCCTTACAACTCAGGCTCTCAAAACAGGAAACCTTGGAAGGGTTTGAGCTGACTTCAACTTGACGGCATCCAAGGGGAAAAAAAAACCTCAAGAGCCACAATGGCTCGGACCTGAATCGAACGGGTTCCTTCTGCATGGAATCCCGAATTTCAAGACTTTTAAGAATAGCAGAGGTGGACCATCCACCACCGAGCCGATACTCACTCTGTTCTTGACCTGGTTCTACACCGCTATTTCTTGTTTCAATTACCTCTCCCAAGGCGACAATCACCTTTAAATGAAAGAGGGCTGCATGCGGCAAACTACTCGAAGGCGGCGCAAAAAATTGGTTCAATACATTCTACCCCCAACACGGCTCGGGCTCGATTCGAACGAGCATCTTCTGTGTAATATCACTTTGCAAACCTGTAATTCATACAGATATGGACCTCCACCACCGAACCTTCCTCGCCTTACAAGTTAGGCTCTCAAACCAGCAAATCTTGGAACGGTTTGAGCTGACTTCAACTTGACGGCATCCAAGAGAGAGAAAAAAAACCGGCATTGACCATCTATGGCTCGGACCCGAATCGAACGGGTTCCTTCTGCATGATGAGTCAAACAATTTACGATCAAGTACAGCAGACGTGGCCACCCACCACCGAGCCGATATTGGCTGTGTTCGTAACCTGACTACGTAGCCAATTTCTGGCATGAGACAACTTGAACTAAATCAACCTGCCGCAACCCAATTTGTTTCAACCTGAAATCCCAACCTCATATTTGTGCGCAAAAAATTGCTGAGGACTGGCGCCTAGGAAATCACCTCTTCGTCTGAATTGGGACCAAAAGAAGAAAAAAACTATCATCGCGAATATGCATGGCTCGGGCTCGATATGAACAAGTGTCTTCCACAGCACTCTTGTCCATCACAAAGTATGTTGCTGACGTGGACCAAGCCTTACTCCTCTTGCAGCTGAGCTTCCGACTTGCTGGTGGGTTCGCGTTGACTCCAACTCGCACACATAAAAATTGGTCCATGGCTGAGACCCGAATCGGATGGGTTCCTTCTGCGTGAATACGTGCCACACATGGAAACCTAGAACCAAATGTTCTGAAGTGACCAAATTTTCTCGGAGACGAAACTGACCTCCTCAAAAGATTGATCAAATAAGGGGACCTTCGAGAGTCATTCGTGCAGAGAGCAAGGTGAAAAAGTACATTGAACTCTGGCAAATGGCTCGGGCTCGATTCAAACGAGCAGCTTCTGTGTAATACAACTTCCAAACCCACAAGTCATACAGGTGTGGACCATCCACCACCAAGCCTTCCTCCTCTTGTGACTGGAATTCCCTAGTGAGTAAATTCAAGAGGGGTTCAAATAAAATCCAACTTGCAAGCACAGAAGAATAAAAGGGAACTAAAATGTGTTGATGGCTCGGACCCGGATCGAACAGGTTCCTTCTGCCTACAATACCTATTCAAGTTGAATAGCAGCACAGACATGGACCATCCACCACCGAGCCTATATTCACTCTGTTCTTGACCTGGCTGCATACCGAATTTCCGGACACGTCAGAAGATCCTCGAACTCAATTAACTTGTCACAACGTCAACTTGAAAATTCAACCTCATGATTGCAAAAAGGCTCATCTAAAAGGCTCATAACCATATTCATGACTCGGACCCGGATCGAACAGATTACCTTTTGCATCTCGATGTTTTCTTATCAAGTACAGCAGATGTCGACCATCCACCACCAAGTCGATGCTGGCTCTATTCTTAACCTGGCTTACGTACCCAATTTCTTTTGATGCATGAAACAACTGAAACCAAATCGACCTGCTTGAGCATCGGTGGGAAGGAAAATCAACTCTTCGTCTTCGCAGAGTTTCGCTAGAACGTAGATGGACGTCAAAGCCAGGAGCTTAGTGGCCGAACGCTTGCCGAGCGAGCCGCCCAACAAAGGTTCGCACGGTTCAGGACAGTTAAACATTCAAACAGGGAATGGACAGAGTTCCCCCGGTGTATCCATACATCTAAACAGTGCCCATGTCCTAAAGCTCGACCTCATTCTGCTCCGAACAACGTGGATTACTTACCCCGAGATCGATGTCGTATTACTAGATTAGACAATGTCGTGCTAGACTCACAGCGTCGCCCGTTGAACTCTCCCGGCTATATATTTGTTCGTCTATCGCATGCATAAGAATATGCCGTGCCGCGCCGCGTGGCTCGGTATATGTCTGCGCCGCAGAGCCGCAGTGCTGTAATTGTCTGCGCCGTAATGCCGCAGTTGATGCCACGATTCGGTGACGACGGCTACACGAAATAGGGGGTTCAATTCCGAAAAAGGTAAGTCCAAGTTCCAACCAGCGAATATTCTATCCCTTACACGCTCGCCCATCGAACTCCCTCCCAGCTATATTTGTGTTGCTGCGATGGTTTCAACGCTGCCAAAGCGGTCATTGGAAGTAAATGGCTCTCTCGCCGTTCTCCATCAGCACTCTTCACATACGTACAAAGTCCCAAGTCAATACAAAGTCCAAAGTCAAACGACCTAAAACTACAAGTGTATATATTCGCGAAGCCGCCCCGGTAGCTGCATAAATGCGATCGTAACCCGCATATGCGTAGAAAGTCCGAAGTCAAACGACTTGAAACTACAACTGTCTATGTCCGCGAAGCCAAGCAGCCGTAGCTGCATCAATGAGATCGTAACCCGCAGAAACAGGGCCCTGCTCGGGGACACACACATTGGCTATATACAGATTGAGTATGTATACCGCGTGTTGAGAAACTATACTTACCTGTGTGGCGCTTGATACGTTGGAGGGGCAGCTCCGAAAGTGGGATACCGAGGGTCGGGTTGAAAGCCTGGAGGTGTGGCCATCGGGTGGTGGTAGGATGGTTGGGCGATTGGATAGTAGCCTGGTTGAGTGTTCTGGGGAAAGGGATTAGTGCCATGGGGGTATGGGAAGCTCGGGGGTGCCGGATGAGGAAATGGCGGTGGGACGGGATGGGAACGGTCTGGCCGGAAACCCGGTACTGAATTGAAGTGAGGAGGTGCAGCCGGTTGTCCATGACTAGGGTTGAAGTACGGAGCACTTGGTGGTGCGTGATGACCGTGTCCATAAGCGCTGTGGGGAGGAGGGGCTTGACTCCACGAAGGCGGCATCGTAGAAGGGGGAGTTGAAGTCGATCCTTCTCCGGGAGGGATGGCGAAAAGAGATTTCTCCCGCTCCAAGGAAACAGGTACATAGTCACATAGGAGACCGTGCTTCACGCATCTCTGGCACGGGGTGTCTTCGCCGGCAGTAATGCACTGATATAAAGTTGACCACAAGTCTCGAGTCGCAGGAGATGCAACTCACGCGCACTTTGCGACGACGGCAATTGACGCACGCGAGGTAGATACGCTTGCGCTGAGAGGACTGTGAGGTTGGTGGGTTCGAAGGTGGGATGACGGACATTCTGGATGTCGAAAAGCAAGGCCAATGCGATTATATACGTGTACCGTTCACCGTCTATAAATTAAAGCAATTATGCCGACTTCTTGAAACTTGGCACCGTTGCGCGGAAAATGCAAATTCACGAGATTCGGGGGAAATTTGGCATACTAGGACTGCGGCCCTCGCAGTGCCGCATTCACGTCCGCCCTCGGCATTTGATTCACAAACCGATGATGTTCAATGCCCGCTTTCCCGCTGCTCTGCTCCGCTGGCAAATCCCTATTGCTGCTGTTGAGCTTCGGGGATCGCCACAGTAATAAGGTCGTGACAAAACGCGCCTACCTGAAACCTAGAACACTGCCACATCATTCTTCAGCGGCCTTCAGCGTGATCGTGTCGAAACGGCAATTTTGGTCAAGTCAATTCTGGGAACAAACTTGCTCTTGAACTTTAGATAGCCCTCTGACTCGCCAGTGAGTTGGCTTCCTCAGCCGGCAGAACCGGATGCTGCGGTCCACGTACTCACCACTCATATCCACGACCATATTTCTTTGGACAAGAGCTGTCGTAAATTGACGGATCTGAACAGTTTGCTGGCGTTACAGTTGATCGTATTCCCGCACCTCACATGACTTTGTGTGTCCTCGAACCCTTGAATGCAAGCTTCAGGCTTGTCCGACCAAGCTTCGTGGGGGGCGAGGGGCGGCGGCGAGGGGGTTGATAGCCAAAAGCACGCTTTCAACCCGAAACGGGTCCGAGCGAGGGAAAATAACCCAGAGCTTCAGCCAACCCCAAGACTTCATCTGATCGTCATTCGGGTCCAATTCGGGTCCAGTAAAATCCGAAATCGTGAATGCTTTGCACTTGCACCAGCGCCAGAGCTACGAGTCACCGGCCTACGGGGCCGACGCCCGCGAAAGCAGAGCAGGCCTGTGTAGTGACGTTGAAAGATTTTCGCGGGCGATGTAAAGAGCGAACCCAAAAAGCCAAATTAACGTGCAGCGCTGATCAGCTGTGTCGAGCTGTGCCAATCTGCACGGCGGAAGAGGACCAAATTTGAGTCCGATTAGCCAGGCACGTAGGCTCTAGGACACGTAGTACAGGGTTAGCGGGGCCGCTGAAGGTGTTGGATACCCTTCCGAGTCAGGCTTCGGAAAACCCTGCCGCCGGCCGGACTTGCAGCCTGCCACGGAAATCCAATCAAATATTCGTTGTCCCCGGCGTTTCTGTTGCACCCTTCGCAAATTCCATGGGACTCGACCGCGAGAGAAAAGGTTGAGCGTCGACGAGAGTTGTCAAAAAGCAGAGGGAAAGGTGAGTCATCATTCCAGGCCCTCGATCACGGTGATTGCCGTTAGGGCCGAACGGATGCCGACTCGTTGTTCCCAACTTCCCGTTCTCTGGCGAATCTACCAAGTATGCAGGTGAGGGTAGGTACACCGGAATTTTGAGAAGAGACTATTCAATTTTCGGCTTTGAAGTGATTTGAAGCGACTCGATAGATTCATCTATGCAAAGAAATGAGCATAAGTTCTTTTCATCCATGGATATTTACCCGACTAAAATCGAGGTCTCACAGTCAACCAGTCCAGCACGCTCCAGAAAAGGCCTGGAGCGGTCCAGAGGCAGACGAGTTCAGATACTTCCGGTCTCAGACATGCCCGCGGAAGCAAAATGTCTCAGCCCCTATCTCTTCTGAAGTATAAAACCCCCCTCACCCAGTCGCCACTCTGCATCGATTTCACCCAGAAATCACCATCCAAATTACCTTCTCAAAATGTCTCCCATCAACCACCTTTTTGTTCCCCGCGACGTCGACGCTTCCGCCACCTCGAGCGATTCGACCAGCGCAAGTCCCACCTCGTCGTCGCCTAGTGTCTTCGACGGCCCACCCCCACCCAACATCCCGGGGTGGGTGGGCTGGCTCATTCTCGCCATCTTCATTATTCTGTTGATGATGGCGATTCGTCTCATGTATAAGGAAAGCGTACGTCCCTCATCTCTTTCTTGCTCCGTTCAAGGCTAACCACGCGTCGCTCTTCAGAACGAATACCTGGCGAAGCGGGGAGACCGCTTCGAGCCGACCAAACGCTATAAGCTGAGCCCGAGCGAAAAGCGCCAACTCAGCCTCGGCAAGCTTCCCCGCCCGACCATCGCGCCGCCTCCGGCTGCCCACATCGCCGTGGCAGACAACGCCGCGCACAGTGCGGAGGATGCGCTCTTCCACGTCACCGCAACCAACACGCTCAAGAATCAGCGCCGCGCGGCGCAGGTCTTCCAAAAGGCGGACATGGTCGCACCTCCTTTGCCTCCAATCCTGCGGCCTGCCGGTGCTCGTTGGTAAGCGTGTGGCGTGGGTGTCCGCGGTGCAGATCCCGAGGTGTGTTTTCTATTCGCTCGTTCGAACTATTTCTTGATTCTGACTATCGCGAGTAGTACTAGAAAGAAAACTCGGCGTCAACGTGCCCGCGGAAGAAATCACCAGTCGCACGTCATCCACTGGTTATACCGACGCATTCGCCTTCGGCCTACCTTCGGCCAAGCCCCTTCCGCCTGCGAAGGTCGACTCACCTCGTATTTCAGCGGTACACTCCATTCGAGCTCGCAGTAATTACATCTGTATCTCGACAGTGCGGGCGTTCCCAATACATTTGGAGATTTCGCGCTACTGTGATAAATTATGAGTCTTTCTAATATTCGGCGACTAAGAGAACCCGACAGGCACGCACTTGGTGGGAGGAAGTTCGAGCCTCCACATGCACGTCCCCTCATTAGTGAAGAGTCTGACGACAAAAAAACCGGTCAGTTAAGATGGATAGATACCCAGTCAAAGCATCTTGTTTGCTCCTTTGACGCCGGTTTTGAACGTCCGGATGAACGGTTCACTGTGATGGATTTTCTCAGGTACATCTGAAACTCTGTTAAAGCGAAAATGGTATCAGAGGAATTGACTCGACGAGATTTTGACTGACCAAGCTACGGGAAAATTGATTCCTAGGAAAGAGAAGGCGTCGCCGGTCTCGAAACGTTCTTACAGGTTCGAGCTCGATGATAAGGCCGGATCACAACAGCGC